TTTATTTATTTATTTATTTTGCGGTACCGGGGATTGAACTCAGGACCCTGTGCTTGCCAGGCAAGCACTTATTCTACTGAGCTATCTCCCCGGCCCCTTAAATTATTTTTTAAAGGACCACAAATGTATTCCAGTGGCAAGGCCCTGGATTCAATCCCTAGAAGTGAGAAAAAGGAGGCCCTCAAGACCCTCTTTGTTTTTCTCCTCTATCTTTCCCTTTTCTTTCTTTCAGTTGGTCAGCCTTCTTGCGAGAGATATTTGGGAAGCATAGACTGTTTCTGTCTTTCCGTGTTGGCAACCTCCAGTGTCAGGGCCACCACCCACTGCTGCCCTCCGGTCTGCACTGCTGTGACTCTAGCCCCTTCCCCCTTTCCTCGTCCACTATACCCTCCCCTACACTGCGACCCTCAGGAGCCAGGGTCACTGGCTGGAAGCCCCAGGTTCTTGGCTGTTTGACCACAAGCTGAAGGGACAGGATCCCAACCCTCTGTGGACTCAAAAGAGAAACCAAGGCACCAAGCACTGTGGCAGGATCCAGGTCGCAGGCCATTAGCCAGGCTAGAAGGATTTCCCTATCCCCCATGCAGTTTGCTCTACTCGAAGGCACCAGCAGGATCTCAGGGGCTTGACCTTAAAGGTAACCAACCTTGGACTCTGTGCCCAGGGGCTGTCCTACCTCTGCCTCACTACCTGTCTGTCCACTGGCCATAGCCCTTCTCCCCATCCCAGCCACCTGGATGGATCCCAGCTTGGGCTCTGAGAGCTGGGGCTGAGCTGAGGAACGATCCCTCATTCCAAGCCACCTCTAAACACAGTGCACACACTGCAGGCTTCTCCGGGGCCCAAAACAGGAGGGAGTCTGGGGCCTCACTTAAGCCCAAGAAGGGGGTACAAGGGTGAGTCTAGCAGATGAGAGTGTGGCCCTTGATCTTACAGGGAGTAGGGACAGCCCGGAAACAGAGGTGGCCCTGGCCTTCCAATGCTGGCCACCCTGCTTCAGCCTGCAGCCCAGCCCCACCCCTCTGCGCCATGGCTCTGCTTCAGGGTGCTGGGAAGGCCCGAGCCAGCCTCTCTCTGGCTGGTAAGACACTCCCCATCCCAGAGGGCTTGCGGGGAGGAGGGGGGTCTGGCCTCCATCCTAGCAGGCCAGCTCTGGGAACAGAGCTCAGGAGGGCACCGCAGGAAACCTTTCAGCCTGGCCCACTGGACTCGGGCCCCTTGGGGTGGGAGAGGCAGAAAAAGGGGCTGGGTCCCATGTGCTCCCCCCACACACACTTGGCTCACTGTGGCCAGCAGGCAGGAAGGACCCGCGGGCCATCCGTCAGGGAGATGGAGCGGCCAGCGCTGCCCTGCCGAGGAGGGAGCCGGGAAACTTGATCATTAAGAAGCCCTCCTGGCTGTCTGGGGGAATTTAATTAAATTGCTGGAAAGGCTGCGAGAGGGGCCACATCTGGAACCAATATGTGGGCTTCGTTGCCTCCCCGTCCCTCCCTCCACTCCCCAACTCCGCTGTGAAAGGGAACCCGGTGAGGCCTGGGAAAGCGGAGCCCTGTCCCGGGGGCCAGGAGCAGACCTGCGAGGGGAGACAGCAGAGACCAGAGTGCGACAATGAGGGTGACGACGATGGCGGTGGCGGAGGAGGAGACCCGGGAGAAATGGAGGGGGGCTGGGCAGCGTGGGGGCTGCGAGGAGGCTCGTCCACTTCACAGGTGTGGACAGGGAGTCCCAAGAATGGGACTTCAGGAGCATCCCATGCCCAGGCGGATGGCCCTCTCAGCCCCTACCTGTTCCCTCCCTTGTCCCCTCCAAGTAGGGGTGAAGGCAGTGACTGGCCCAAGGTGGCTGCAGGCCTGGACCCCGGACCTGTCCGCACAGATGCCTGCATTGGCCACTGCTTGCTCTGCGCTTGCTGGGGATGGGCACAGAGTTGGGCTCTGTGGTTGTGGCAGTGTGGCTGCGAGGTCTTGGCAGGGACATGGGGACAGGCTGGCCTCCCTGGGCAGCATTGGAGGCTGATGCAGGTTGCAGGTCAGGAGTTGGCGGCATGGGGGTGGGTGGCAGAGGGGCTGGAGTCTCTGGCCTGTGACTGTGGGGGTCATCGCTGGGCATGGGAACAGGTTGAAGGTGCCCTGGGGCCACAGGGTGGAGCCCCCAAGTCTGCCTCCAGCTCCCTTTTAGCTGATTTCTGCCTCTGCTCTCCGAGCTTCAGCCCCTCCATGGTCTGAGCGGCATCCAGTTCCTGCCAGGCAGGGCAGTGGGGACACACTTCAGGGTGACCCAGCCTCAAGGTGACATAGCCTCAGGATGACACAGCCTCAGGGCCTGGGGAGGCCTCCTCTGAACCCTTGGTTCCTCCTTAAACCCAACCGTGGCTCCTAAAAGCCATATCCAGCTCCCTCTTTGCAAGGGGCTTTGGTCTGCATGGGGACCCCTACAGCAGGACGTTCACCCTGGACAGCTGGGCCCCAACAGGTCCTTGCGGTCCAGCCAGAGCAGGAAGAGGAAGGGGCTTGACCCAAATCTGTGCAGCAGCTGTCCCAGGTCCTTAGGGACTATCGAACAGTTTAAAGATTTGACTTGAGGCCCGTGGAATGGAGGGGAAACTGAGGCATGGTGCGACGTGGCCGGCTGGGTACTACTCCTTCTCCAGAGGAGTCCTGTCTTCACCCAGCCCCGCATGGCCCCTGATCTCCTTCTCTGTTCGCTTTATTGTTTGAGTAAGGGTCTCACCGTGTTCCAGGCTCTCCATGGACCTTCAACCCTGCCTCAGCTGAGACCATGGGCCTCGGCACCTGGCTTCTCATTCCTTCATTGTTTCTTGGTCTCGGCATAAGGACCTTGAGGGCTCGGTGCTCACTCCCACTCGGGAGGCTGAGGCAGGAAGATCACTGTGAGTTCACAGCCAGCCTGGGCTACAGAGTGAGCTCAAGGCCAGGCTGAACTACATAGTGAGACCCTGTCTCAAATAAATAAAATAAAATAAACCCCCCACCAAGTAAAGAGGCTGGCAGCCTGGCAGAATCTGAATAGCTAGCCTGAGTCACGGGCTGTGAGTAGCGCACACCAAGACTTGACCTCAGCTTCATATCGGGGGAGTCACAGCCACGACTCCTGAAGAACACCTTTGGGAACATGGGGAGGCCAGCATGGCAGCAGGCTGGTGGTAGGGTGGAGGGTGGGACCAAGATATGGGTGATGAGGGGCAGGAGACAGCTGGGCACAAAACCCAGTCACCAGCCCACACCCTGGTCCCTGGCAGGGAGAGGGGAACCCTGTGGCCCAGGGAGCGTCCATGCGGCCTGCTAATCCAAACCACACGGGCAGGGCGAGCCTGGGGTCCCATCACAGGCCTGGGCAAGGTGATGATGTACAGATTCTTAAATAAATCTCTCTCATTAGGGACCCGCTGTCTAGAGGAGAAAAATGATGCCCTTCCCCGTGCGGTCTCCTGCTTCCCCACCCCCCCCCAAAAAAAAAGAAAGAAAAAAGAAAGGGGGGACCAATGCTGCAGCTAAAGAGGAAATTGCATTAATACAGATTGTTTTATTTAAAAAACCTTGACCTCAACTTCAAAAAAAGTCATTAGGCATTCTGCTCGGTGGGGCCGCCGCGGCTATAACGGGGAGGCCTCTCATTTCTCAATGACTTACTATCCCGCGCGGCCCAGGGACCGGGAGGGTGGCGGGTGATTTAAGGCTCCCTGCAGAAAGATGTGTAAATCTTCGCGTGTCCAGGGAAACTTTAGCAGGCCGTGAAGGCCGAGGGAAGGAAAACGGGAAGCACCCCCTCCCTTCCTCTTTGCCTTTTTTATTTTTTCCCCCTGTTAGAACTCTGATCTCTTTGGTCGTAAAAATGGTCATATTTCACCCCCAAAATATCAGCAATCAGCAAACTAAGGAAGTGGCGCCCACGGGGAGTTGTGCTGCCTGATTCGACCCTTGGTTTAATTATTTAACGCCTGCCTGCATCGGGCAGACTGTGAACACGCCCTCCTGGCTGGAGTTCAAGAGCACGTTATAAATAATAATAACTATTATATCCCCAATTAAGCTGGCAGCTGAGAGCCCTGGGCCCCGCCCTGTGAGTCTATGTCCCCCTTCTGTGTGCCAGCATAGCTCGGCTCAGCCGCAAAGTAATGACAGCAAGATGTTGCCGGGCCCTGGAGGGCACAGGCAGGGCCTGCGGGCGGGGAAAGCCTTTGCCCAGGTTCTGGGCTCCCCCAGCCTGGCCTCAGCTGAGCTCCCACATCAGGGACAGGGAGGGCGGGGAGTCTGATCAGCGTCCTTTCTCCTTTGAGCTTCAGTGTTTCTACCTGTGACAGGAGAGTCCTTCCCCAAAGGGTATCCTGGGCAAGGTGCCTATCCCAGAAACCCACACCAGACACACCTAATGACATAAAAAGAACTGGCAAATGATTCAGTTAACAGGATTGCAGTAAAAGCCATATGGCCAGGAATCACACCCTGATGACCCCCGGCTTTGAGTGCGCTCATCCCATCATCCTGGCTGCTTCCTGCAGCAACTCTGGAGTGCTCTTTCCTGAGGGTCTTCGGGCACTGTCGGGCCTGGTGCCTGCCTCGATGTCCTGAATCCATTCAGAACATTCCTCTTTGGGGCTCATGTTGACTTTGGAACGAGCCAGGAATCACGCGGAGCCAGATTCACATCAGCACCAGGAAGAGGGCACCTCCTCTTCCGCCCACCTCCTGAGCCTGCTTCCCTCTTGCATGAGATCTGTCTCCCTGCTTCTCCTGGTGATGTAGGCAGTCACTGTGGTGCTTGGTCACTCACACCTTGCATTTGCTGGAAAACTGCAGCTGAGGCCACCGGAGTTGAGTCCAAAGCACTTGGCTGCCACGGTCCAGGCTCAGCATGCCCTGGGTGCCCTGCTAGGGCTGATGGCCCCGTACCCCATGCCAGCCTCACTGCACAGTAGGTGTTCAATAAATCCTAGTGGGGAGAACCATTCAGACATGCCCCCTTATCTCGCTGCTGCCCCTGCAGTCCCTGGGGCCACCTGCCAGGATGTAGAACCCAGCATGCACCTAGCTCTGCCCGCCTGGGACTGCCCCAGGATGGTCACTGGCAACTCGTCCTCTGTCCCCAAGAGGTTTCTGGGCCTTCAGGAGCCCAGACTCACCTGGAAGTCATCCTGGCACTGGTGGCCCCCACCGTGACGTCTCCAGAGCTCACTATATGCCACACAGTGAAAACAGTGAACAGGGCTGGCAAGGTAGCTCAGCAGACTAAGCACCTGCTTTGGCGAGTGCAGGGACCCGAGTTTGATCCCTGGTCCAGCATGCCGTGCTGGCCCCACCCCAGGGCGCTCTGAGCCTGTGACCAAGTCTGGGCATGGTGGCGCACGCCTGTAATCCCAAGGCTGGGGAGGCTGAAAACAGGAGGATCACTATGAGTCTGAGCTGCATGGTGAGACCCTGTGCCAAATACATAGAAATTGATTAATTAATTAATTAACAAATAAAAAAAGGATAGCTTCTCCTCAGGGGCAGGGGAACTAACTTCCCAGCCCTAATTTTCTTTCTTTTTCTTTTTTCTTTTCTTTTCTTTTTTTTTTTTTTTTTGGCAGAACCGGGGATTGAACTCAGGCCCTTGCACTTGCCAGGGAAGCGCTTATTCTACTGAGCCGTCTCCCCGGCCCCCCAGCCCTAATTTTCTTGGAACAACCCAGTGTGGTGATCAGGAGCCTGACAAACTTATAAGGGCTCAGAACATCTCCCCACAGAGCCTGCCTGCCTTCCTCTGTGAGGGACATTGTGAGGTGCCACTGTTCACAAGGCTGCCTGACTTATGGTAGGCTCGCTACCCTGGAGCCAGCGGCCACGGGCAAACGTTTGTCTTTGAATCTGCTGGCAGGGCAGGGCAGACACACCCCTCAAGGGGTACAGTTGTCCCTCCATACCTTGGGGGATTGTGCCAGTACCCTTATGGGTACTAAAATCCTCGCCCCCTTCCAGTGCCTTAGATACAAGGCCCAGTGGCTGGTTATCACCAACATACCTTCTTTTACTCTAAATGACATCTCCACTCCTTGTACCTAATATAACATGAATACTAGAGTTAGTTGTTGCAGGATACTGTTTAGGGGATAATGACAAGAAAATCTGTGGCATGTTTAGTACAGATGTATTTTTGCTGTTGTTTTGTTTCTTTAAGACAGGGTCTCCCTGTGTAGCCCAGGTTAGCCTTTAAGTCCTAGAGATCCTCCTGCCTCAGCCTCCCAAGTACTAGAACTTAAGGCTTGCACCACCACACCCAGCTTTCTTTTCTTTTCTCTTCATATCTTTTCTTTTTTTCTTTCTTTTCTTTCCGTGTTTTTGGCCCTAGGTGCATTGCACACAGAGATTCAGATCCTGTGGACCTAAGCGCTCACTATACGGTATTTAAGCCTGGCCAAGGGCTAAGAGTGTCACCTCCATAGGGGTCCTCGTCTGGAAGTCCCCAGGAAGGAAGCTGAGGCTTAGCAAAGCCTGCAGAGCCAGCAGAGCCAGCTCCACTTCCAGGGTTGCGGGAGTAGGGGGGATGTCAATATTTATAGGTGCTGAGATTGGTCACAGTCACACCTAGCCTGCAGTGTTTATGCCTCCCCAGACCTGTGGTCACGGTGAACACTGCTCCGCCTAGGAGCCTGCATGAGCCACCTGGGCCCGGCTACCTCCTTTGGAACAGGCTCTGGGTGTGAGTAGGTGAA